GAGTCTATACTATGAATAGTGATGATCTCAGTACACAAAACACTAATGTGGAAACCAGCGATACAGTAGTTGAATTTTATTTTCAGATGCTTGAATTTAATTGATTTCATCACTAACTGAAAATATTCAGGTATATGATAATTTATTGCAATGTGGCCACATATAGCAACGTGTGTGCTAAAGTGCACATGTGGATTTGAGACATTCACATATTACAATATGATTGCTGCTATAGTAATGATAATCTTTCATTCACAGTGCATAATTATAATTTCTTTTTTGAAGTCCATGTTTTCCCATATCAGTTATTACATTTTTGAATCTCATCTTGGTGGTTTCACTGAGCTCCCACCAAGCTCTTCTGAGGTTGCTATCTCCCTCTTCATTTCTTGGCTAATGATGCTGTGGGATGAGGCTTCAGGAGTCTAAACCCCTCTCAGATATGTCACGTGCTGGCTGCATTTCTCTCTTCTGCTCCTGAAGGAATTCTAAAATGGACTCAGCCTGGGCATGTTTTCCTTTTCGATAAAACTCGTTGGCAATTTTTTGCAGGCCTTTTTCCATCTTTTCTTTCTCATATGATTCTTCCTGTATTTTCACACCCTCCTTAAAGTGGTAGATTGCTGTGTGTTCATCCTCCAGTTGGTTCAACAGAAAGTTGCCATAATGCAGGTGGATCCTTTGTTTGGCTACTGGAGTAAGTTCCTTGGTGAACTCTTGCCTGTAGTAAAAGTCTGCATTTTCAAAATCACATCTTATGTTATAGAGGTCACCAATATAGAGGCAGGTAGTAGAGTAATGTCCATTGATCTCATTAGCTCTCCTTAAATGATACAAACCTTGCTGTATTAGTTCCTCAAACTTCTGTTTTTCCTCAGGAGACATGTACTTCTTTCCTGGTACTTTTTGGAGGACTTTTTTTCTATAGTAACTACCAATTGTAAATTGCAGATAGGAATTGTCAGGCACGGATTCAAGGGCCATTAGCAGCAGTTCTATGCCTCTATCTAGGTCACCTTTATAATAATACAGCCTTGCTGCCTTTTCAAGCACATCTGTTGTACAAGGGGCATTCAACAAGACCTCTTCAACCAAACTCTCTGCACTTTTTATTTTATTCATCTTTTGGAGTTTCAGGGCCAGGAGGACTTTAACATACTGATTTTCGGGATCCAGCTGTATGGCTTTCTTCAGAAGATCAATGAGATTCTCACGTGGCAGACTCTCATCCAGACGGTATACGGCAATGGCAAGTCCAGTGGTGAATTCTGGGTTGTCTGGTTTCCTTTCCAGAGCCTTCTGAAAACACACCATGGCCCTTTCATTTTGCTTCCCACACTTTAACAGTGCCCAACCTTCCTCATTATACAGCTCTGGAAACTGAATACTGTCAGGGCTTGAAAACATGTCACAGATTTGTTTCACCTTCTCTACATAGATCTGAGATTTTGGGATATTTCCGTTGCGATAGTGGACCCAGGCATAATTTCCCCAGGTGACCAGACTTCTGAGTTCTGCTTGATGACCATCGTGGGCTTCCTGGGTGAATGCTTCAGCTTGCTGTAGGTATTTCAGGGCTGCATCGTTTTGGCCTCTGCAGGATTTTATGTAGGCCAACAGGTTGCACATTGTGGCTTTGAACTCAGTCTTTAAATTGTTAATCTGGTCAAGCACCCCACTTTCCATATCATTTGGGATTCTGTTTTCATCGAATAAGTTCCAAGTGAAATGGCATTTCAGCTGTAAGAGGACATTCTCCTCACTGTGGAAAAAATAAACATTATTATGTGATGTACATTTGGCAAACATAACAACAGGATTGCAATTACATGTTAATTTAGAAGATCAAACTGACTGGGCCTAGAGCTACAAAGTATCTAGTTAAAACATTTGTTCTATGCTTAGCTGTGTGTAGCAGGCAGATGGGATTAGCTGGGATTCCATAGATTAAATAACGTAACTCACTTTCACTGAGGTGGATGGGCATCTCCCCACCTGTTGAGGGCCTGAGTAGAACAGAAGGCAGAGCAAGTCAGAGTTTGCATCTCTGCCTGGCTGCTGGAGCTGCACCATGAACCTTTCCCTCCTGAGACCTGGTTTCAGCCTTCTGGTTCTTGAGCCTTCAGACTCAGACGAGTATCAAATCTTGCTTTGCCTGGTTCTCAATTGTCCTTATATTTCCCACTGGTGTTGCTCCTATGGACAACTCTGAATACTCTACACATTCGAGTTTAACTGGATAGAAATGAGGTCCTTTGACTTCCTTCATTTAGATTTCTAAGCTGGTTGTTTCAGAATACACAGAGAAGGAGAATGCACTGTGTGTGTGGAAATGTGGGAGGTGAGGTGGGGTGGATGGGAGGACAGAGGCCGACATGAGAAAATATGGTCTTTCCTATCCTGTGATCACTGACTCAGTTCTTATTCCTCATTCATGCATTCAGGTTTCATGGAGGCAACCAACGGCCCTTTACATGACCGTTTCTTCATCACATTTTGCTATTTTTCAGGCATACTACGTAAAATAAAGGTTATCCTTGTCTTCTCTGTCCCAAGAATTTAGGGCCCAGTTAGAAGGAAACTTACAAATAATGAAAGAAAGCACATGGTTGTTTTTCTCTGGGCCTTGGGATTTATTTAATCCTGATATGGACAACAGGAAACATAGCCAGATACAGTAGATCTGCTTTAAACTGTTCTTGCCTTGGTGGATAGGTCATTTGCACATATAGTGCAATAATAAATAACAAAACTCTGTAGCATTTGATGGCTACAGAGCACATTTACTTCATATTTTGTTTTGTAAATATTTATGCACCCAGGCCCTCCCTGGTGGCGCAGCGGGTTAAAGCACTGCACTGAGAATCTAAAGCCGCTTCTGCATGAGTTCAATTCCCGCCTGCCCCGGAGGTCAAGTGCAGCCCTCAGAGACGCAGTTCACTGCAC